CGGATTCTGTCTGGGTTGCCCCTCTTCCAGGACAGCCCTCTGCTGTGGCCAGGGAGTGCAGTGGAGGATGGCCCAGGTGCTTGGGCCCTGCACCCCATGGGAGACCAGGAAAAGCACCTGGCTCCTGGCTCCTGCCATTGGATCAGCGCGGTGCGCTGGCCGCAGCGCGCCGGCCACGGCGGCCATTGGAGGGTGAACCAACGGTAAAAGGAAGACCTTTCTCTCTGCCTCTCTCTCTCACTGTCCACTCTGCCTGTCAAAAAAAAAAAAAAAAAAAAAAAAAAAGGAGGAATCAGCTGCAGTGGCTCTGGTTGCCCTGGCCCCCTTCCTCCTGCATCCTCACTCCCTTCTGAAAGTGTCCTTGCTGCCTGCTGGGAGGGAAAATTGAATAAATTTTTCCATCTGCATTGCTAATTGTAGGGAGACTCCAAGGTTGCTGCAGCAATAGCTGGATTCACCTCTGGCTAGGAGGCTACTATCTAATAGACAGCTGCAAATTGGAACTCCAACTATGACTGACCATCTGGTAGGGTAGGGGTGGTGGGCTCTTAGCAAAGCCAGATATGGTGACAAATATCCAAGAAGTTCAAGAAGAAGAGGGTAGATTCAAGGAAGGCAGTTAGTCAAATTTTCCTCCAAAATTTTCTTGCCCTTCCTTTTGTAGAGTACTTTCCTCTACAATAGGGAGGGAGGGAGAGAGAGAGAGAGAGAGAGAGAGAGAGAGAGAGAGAGAGAAGCAGCAAGCCTCAACTATGAAGGCAGCATCTATATCCTAAAGGAATACTTGTCTCCTCAGGGTGCAGCCTGCAGTTGAGACTGCCTCCTAGTGTCTTCACATGGCAGTCTGGGATATGTCTAGATGTCTCTATATTCCGTCTAGATGTAGAATATCTAGAACTATTTTCTCTAGAGAGCTTAATGTGTTTGGAGAATCAAGCACACATAGAGGCAGGGTTGGGGAGGGCAGAGAGATTGGGGAAGTGGGCAAAGACGGGGTGTGTGTATGTTGGGGGAGTTTGGGGGGTGATTACATCCTATTTCACCATGCAGAGCCCTGATCTGGCAAAGGAACTGAATCCCAGATACAGATCAGGTGGCTAAAATGGACAGCTGTGTGGCCACCCATAAGAGAAACTTCTATAATAACTGCAATGGCGCACAGACTGCTTTTGCATATAGCAGACTACCACAAATATTTTATACCATGAGTGTGTCATAAAATGACTCTGATATCACTTCCTCATGAGAAATGTCCCTGCATCCTGAAACAGGCTATGTATTCTATTAATACCATTAAAATAAAACCCCTGCCCCTTGCCAACTAGTTTTTCTCATAGTTTTCTATTTTTATTAGTATTGGTATATATCTCTCTCTTATGGGTTTCAAGAGACCATGTCTACATTGCTTTCCACTGGGCTAGATCATGGAAAGGTATTATTTTTTACTCTGAATGAGATGGAAAGCTATTGGCGAATTTTGTGCAGAAGAGTGCCATAACCTGATTTTCCCCACTCTGGTTGCCATAAGAGGATTAGGGGACAAGGATGGAAGCAGGGATAAACATTTGGGAAATTTTTGCAATGATCTGGGAGAGAGATGACTGTGGCTTTGTTGTTAATGGTGGAGGCAATGAGGAGTGGTCAGATGAACAGGATTTGTCAATCATTTGAATTCAAGGTGTGAGAAAAAGAGAAAAGTCAAGAATAACTGAGATTTTTGGCCTAAGCAACTGACAGAATATAGTAGAAACAAAATCTGAGCAGGTGATAGAAATCAGGAGTTCGACCTTGGAAATATAAATTCAGCCATCTGCTGAACAGCCAAGTGGAGTTGTCTAAAATGAAGCTGGAGTTGTGGCTAAAGATACAAGTGTGAAAGTTACCATCCCACTGAAGTCATGGGACAGAAAGAAATCACCGAGGAAATGAGAGTTGCAAAGAGGACCAGTCTGGGTACAAAGTCTTTGACCCTTAAATGTTTAGGAATTGGGATGTGAAGGAGGAACTGGTAGAAGAGACAGAGAAAAAGTAGCAGTGAAAGGTAAAGAAAATAACCAAACAAGAATGACAGCCCTAGTGTCAACTGAGATGTTGAGTTGAAGACTGACCACAATAGGTGGTCACCAATGACTCTCACAAAAGCAGTTTCAGTGAAGTGGAGCAGACAGAAGGGGCCTGGTAGAGGATCAGGTTCTCCTGGGATGACTTCCTCCATGCTTCTGAGAAGTGAGTCTCCTGCCCTGTGTCCCCATGGCTCTGTACGTACCACATGTCACAATTCACCATAATTATTACAAACTTGTGCCACTGGCTCCTTGTAAATAGTGAAAAGCCAACAAATACATGAATGTGTACAAATGTGTGAACAAAGAATATAACTGATGGAACAAGATCCCTGGGAGAGCAGGAGGGGTAAATCAAGAACAGATTGTGCTCTAAGGGGGAGGAGGGTATTTTCCTTTCTTAGAATGGAAGGATGAATGAAAGATAAAGATACAAAGCAGCATAAGGATGCTGAGGGACCTCACACCACATGGCTTTGGTCTTAAGTAGGAAATGAGGCATTGCAAAAAGAATAAATGAGGTAGGACTGTGTCCACTGCTTACTGTGAGAAATGAAGAGGTGAATTAGAAAGGAACAGAATCACTGCTCCATAGCAGAGGGGGAACCAGTTGTGGTCAGACTGGCATAGATTTGCAGTTGTGGGGCCGGCACTATGGCCTGGGAAAGCAGGAGAAGATGGCCCAACTCCTTGGGCTTCTGCACTTGCGTGTGAGACCCAGAAGAAGCTCCTGGTTCCTGGCTTCAGATTGGTTCAGCTCCATCCACTGTGGCCAGTTGGGGAGTGAACCCTCAGATGGAAGACCTCTCTCTCCCTCTCTCTCTCTCTCTCTGCCTCTCCTTCTCTCTCTGTGGAACTCTGACTTTCAAATAAAAATAAATCTTAAAAAAAAGATCTGCATTGGGACCATTTTTCTGGCTCTTTAATTTATTCTAGAAATGACTAGATCAAAGGTGGAAATGTGCACCCATGGAAGCAGAAGGATGCTATAAAGAAGGTAGATGGTTCACATGGAAAGTCTCAGAAGAGCTCAGGACATGATTGAGAGTCCAGTCAGGGGTTTCTGGTTGTTTTAACTTGCTTGGTTTTCATCCAAAAGGTCTTGTCATAGTCCAACATTGCACCATCCACCTTGGCATCATGTCTACCTCTCAGCCAGCAGGGGAGGAGGAAAGACCAGCTTCTCTCAGTAGAAACAGCCATCACTTGTACCTACATCTCATTGACCAAACTTATGCATATGAATTCACTGAACTCCAAGGGGCTGTGAAGCTACGTGGCCAGCTGATAACAAAGAAGGGGGATAGAACAGATACTGGGGAAAATACTCAATCTCTGCCTCACTGTGCTTCTTGTTAGCTACAGTGGAGTGGAGTTTGTGAACACTGATGGAGCCAGGTCTTAGCATTCTTGAAATGCCAAGAGGCAGGCCTGGTTCTAGAAGTTCCTACTAAATTTTAGAGAATCTTAAATATTTGTTAAGGCATCATTGAGGATGGGGAGAGCCTGATACAAGGAAATACAAGATATCTTCCATCTGCCAGTTCACTCCCCAAATGGCTACCACAGCCAGAAACTCCTAGGAGCTTCTTCTGGGTCTCCCATGTGGGTGGCAGGGGCCCGAGGACTTGGACCATCTTCTATTGCTTTCCCAGGCAGGGAGCTGGATTAGAAGTGGAGCAGTCAGATCTTGAACTGGTGCCCATATTTTGTGGGCAGTGGTTCAACCTGCTATGCCACAGTGCTGGCCCCCAGAAGTGCTATTTTCTAACTTGTCAACTTAAACAAAGCCTTAAGTAAGACTAGACCTGACCAGGCTCTATCCTAAATGGCTATTTCTTTTCTGTTCTCCCCCCTACCCTTTAATGTAAAAAGAGTAAGAGTTTATTTTTTTTGAATGTATAACAATTTTTCTGTAAATACAACTTTAAGAATATAGTGATTCTTCCCACCATACCTGCCCTCCCATCCACACTCCAACGCCTCTTCCTCCTCACTCTCCTACTCCCATTCTTAAGGACTTTCTTGCTGTCTGTTGTTTCATAAATCTGTGGAATCTTCAAATGTATTTTAGGAAGTTACTGTAACATATCATAAAAGGATTATTAGTATAAGGTATAATAAAGATCATGAATTGTACTTGTGGTTGTTATATATAAGAATTATGATGAATTCTGGGGATTTCAATTGAAAAAATTATTTTTGTTTCTTCAAACCACAGAAAGCCATCCTATTCTTTAGTTTGGGTATGCTTGCTAGAATTCACTGATCCTTTCTCAGAAGCTTGCTGTGAAAGCTTGACTAAGACAAGTTACCTGTAACAGTTACACAACCTAAGCACAAGGTAGAACTTGATGGATGCTGTACTGCATTGATGTTTTGTCCTCTGGGCCTTAGGATGCTCTTTCATTGAATCAGAGGTCCTTGTAGTTTGGCATGGAAAGAAAAGACCAATTCCATCCCATCCCAGGGGGAATGCCTGGTCTGGGAAAGGAGAAAACTAAAATAACCTGAGAAATGCCAAAATGCAGTTGTTTCGGGAAGAGGCTGTTAAGGTTGAGTTACAAGTGTTGTACACATGAGGATGAGGAAGAGGAGGTAAGAACACGGGCTGGGCAGACAGAGCTGCAATGAACCAGCCTTGGTCTGATCAGTTTCCTGGAAGTTCTACAGAGACATTTAAAGCCTCCATTGCAGACCAGAAGACAATGAGGTGTTCTCACATATCTGGGCCCCACCCTGTACCTTCCCATGTAATTGGTCTGGGTAGGGCGAGGGAAATGGCACCTTGATAGACTCTTTAGATGATTCTAATTTATATTTGGGATTATGAATAACCATAATAATAAAGCCTCACCATTTTCTGGTTCTTTACCCTGGCGTCTAGTAAAAAAAAAGTTGAGATTCAGGCACTCTTTTTTTCAAGGGCTAGAAAACAGGGGACACCCAGATTTGAACTGGGGACATTTGATTTACAGTCAAATGCTCTACCCCTGAGCTATACCCACTCCTAACAATTGATGCTTGATTAATGCCTTTCAGTTGTGTTGGGTGTACCCAGCTCATTTGTAACCTATAATTTGCCACCTTAGGAGCTGCCAGGCCTGCTCAGTGAAAACTCATCAACCTACTGTATAACAAGAGGCAGGCCCCCTTGTTCAGAAACCCTGGAGCCTGTTGTCTTCTCTGCCTTCAGTTCCTGAGTGTAAGTAGCAGCCTGGAAGCACTGACTTTGGCTTAGACAGGTCTTCAAAGTCAACAGCAGGTACCTGCCATGGTAGGTACCTACAAACAGAAACTCAATATAGTTGGGGTGACCATCCTGATACACTTAATGAGAGAGTTGAGGTCTGACCCTTGTGGCCCAATATTCAGTTCATAGCACTTTCTATAAAGTTACAATCTAAGACTTCCTTCCTTGGTTAGTGTAAATGGAGAGTGATGGAGAATGAACTATTCCAAGAAGTAGGAGGCTGAGTAAATTTAGAAATCTCCCCAAACATTAAAGGACAAATGCTAATATAGTTCAAAGGCCAGAAACGCCACCAGAGAATAAGTCTGTTTGACCCAGAGTTCTGATAGTGGGCAAACCCCAGTTCTGTGTGGTTGAAAACTATGATCTCTTTAGCACCTTTCCACTGCTTCAGTCACTGCCACACTCTTCTTCGCTATTGTCACAGGAGCTGGTAAACCCCTGTCTGTCACACACTGCCCCTAACCTCCTCTGGGGATTTATTTCTCTTTCCCACATGCTGAAGCAACACTGGTTTCTACCCTGACATTAAAGTCCTCCAGAATTTTCTTTGCTACACCAGGGTGGACTTCCAAACAAAAAGTAGAAAGTTTGGATGACTCAGCAGGAAGGCAAAATAACTCCCCAGAGATGGGGATTAGGCATCAGCCTGAGTCAGGAAGGTGGGAGCTGAAGTAGCTCGAGACCTGGGATGTCTCTGGGTTCTGGTGATCCAGGTCAGTGGTAGAAGGCTGAGCAGACATCTTCAATGACAAATTCTTTTTTTTTTTTTTTTAAAGATTTATTTATTTATTTGAAAGTCAGAGTTACATACAGAGTGAAGGAGAGGCAGAGAGAGAGAGAGAGAGAGAGAGAGAGAGAGAGAGAGAGAGAGAGAGAAAGTCTTCTCTCTGCTGGTTCACTCCCCAGTTGGTCGCAACGGCCAGAACTGTGCCAATCTGAAACCAGGAGCCAGGAACCAGGAGCTTCTTCTGGGTCTTCCATGCAGGTGCAGGGGCCCAAGGACTTGCACTGTCTTCTACTGCTTTCCCGGGCCATAGCAGAGAGCTGGATAGGAAGTGGAGCAGCCGGGACTTGAACTGGCACCCATAGGGGATGCCACCACTGCAGGTGGCGGCTTTACCTGTTACACCACAGTGCTGGCCCCCAATGACAAAGTCTTAACCACCACATCCCATGTGGTGAGGAATCAGAAAGGAAACATCTTTGCATAAAGACAAAATATCAGAAGTACTGAGCTCATAAGGAAGGAGTGAATTAGCAGATAGGAGAAAGAAAACTAATTCTGAGAATCTATAGCCACAGGCTCAATTTGGGCCCTAAATTTGCTCTCTGTAACTGATCAGAAAAGCTAAATGCAGTTGCCTATTTTTAAACAGTTATTTATTTATTTTAAAGGCATAGTTACAGCAGAGAGAGAGGGGATGGGAGGAGAGAGAAAGAGCGAGAGCAAGAGCGAGAGAAAGCGAGTTGCTGATTCACCCTCCAAGTGGCTCCAACAGCCAGGGCTGTGTCAAGCAGAAGCCAGGAGCCTGGAACTCCATCCAGGTCTCCCATGTGGGTGGAAGGGGCCCAGGCACTTGGGCAATCTTCCACTATCTTCCTAGGCTTATTAGCAGAGAGCTGAGTCAGAAGAGATGCTCATGTCACAGGCAGCGACTTAACCTACTGTGCCACAATGTTGGTTCCTACAACAGTTATTTCAAGCTAGAGTCAGGTGAGTAGTACCATAGGCTCCTAGTCAATTGAAAGTTCTCCTTAAAGGCGTGCATCAGAAAACAAGCTTCAAAGAAGTCCCATGAATAGACTTTTCGCAAATACAAGCCCAAAAGAAGCAGAATAATGTGGCTATCAACAGCAAGGAATCAGAAACTAGAAAACCTATGTTCAAGTTCAGCCTCAGCTACAAGACTTTGGCAGATGACTTCCTGTCCTGATACCTCAGCTATGTGATATACAAAATGGAGACAATACACTTGATGGATTATTCTGTAAATAAAACTGATTTAATCCATGTAAAGCATTTAATATAGGACTGACACATGGTTAAGTTTTTTTTTCAACTTTTATTTAATACATGTAAATTTCCCAAGTACAACTTTTGGATTATAGCGGTTTTTCCCCCTATAACCTCCCTCCCACATGCAACCATCCCATCTCCCACTTCCTCTCCCATCCCATTCTTTATCTAGATTCATTTTCAATTATCTGTATATACAGACGATCAACTTAGTATATACTAAGTAAAGATTTCAACAGTTTGCACCAACACAGATACACAAAGTATAAAGTACTGTTTGAATAGTAGTTTTACCGTTAATTCGCATAGTACAACACATTAAGGACAGAGATCCTACATGGGGAGTAGGTGCACAGTGACTCCTGGGGTGATTTAACAATTGACGCTCTTATTTATGACGTCAGTAATCATCTGAGGCTCTTGTCATGAGCTGACAAGACTATGGAAGCCTCGTGAGTTCACCAATTCTGATCTTATTTAGACAAGGCCATAGTTGAAGTGGAAGTCCTCTCCTCCCTTCAGAGAAAGGTAACTTCTTCTTTGATGGGCCGTTGTTTCCACTGGGATCTCACTCATAGAGATCTTTCATTTAGGTCTTTTTTTTGCCACAGTGTCTTGGCTTTCCATGCCTAAGAAACTCTTCTGGGATTTTTAGCCAGATCCGAATGTCTTAAGGGCTGATTCTGAGGCCAGAGTGCTGTTTAGGACATCTGCCATTCTATGAGTCTGATGTGTATCCATCCCACTTTCCATGTTGGATCCTTCTCTCCTTTTTAATTCTATCAGTTATTATTAGCAGACAGTAGTCTTTTTTATGTGATCCCTTTGACACATTTCTAGGTCTAGCAATAGGGGTAAGTCTGAGTGAGCATGTGCCGACCAGTACATCTCCTCTCTCTCTTATTTCCACTCATGGTTAAGTTATACAAACTATTTGCTCGACAAATAAACATCTCACAAGGAGATTAGCTATCATTCATCAAAGTTGATAGAAACAATAAATGTTGGAATTCATCTTCCAAAGCCTTCACATACAAAATTATTAGACCAAATCAAAGAGTATATTAAATTAAAAGAGGGAAATGGAAACTGAATTGGGGCGCAAAAACCTGTCCAAAATGTCTAACTCTGCCTGTCCAAAAAAAAAAAAAAAAAGACTGCCTTAGCTATTTTGACTTCTTTACTTCCATATACATTTTTGAAACTTCTTGTCAAATCACACACACATTATTTTGACATTTTGATCAAGATTGCATTGATGTTCTAGATAAACGTAGGCAAAATTGACATATTTATAATATTAAATAGTATATCTTCTCTATGTTTTAGATCTTCTTCAATTTCTCTCAACAATGTTCCATAATGGTGCAAGATTTTGCACATCTTTGGTAAGATTTATTCCTTGAAATTCGATATATTATTGTAAGTAGAATCTTTTTATTTTCATTTCCTTAAATTTGTTGCTAGTACATTGAAATATAACTAATTTTAGCCCAACAATATTCTTAGACTTGCTAATCAATTCTAATAACATGCTTATAGGCCTGTTTTATGTTCTATATATGCAGTCATGTAATCTGCAAGTAATAATGGTTTTCTTTCTCCTTTAAAAGTTTTGGTTTATTTTTTCCTGGCCTTACTGTCCTGGTTAACACCTCTACTATATATATATATATATATATATATATATATATATATATATATATATTTTAACAGAAGTGGTGATAATGAACATTTTTGTCTTGTTTAAATTTTCAGCAGAAAGCTTTCAACACCCCACCATTACATGGCATTTATTTTTGTATTGGAGGAAAGTATCTTGAAACATATTAAGGAGGTAGAAAGCTTGTCCTACTTTGACAAATATTTTAAGAATCATGAACGTGTGTTAGTTTTGATGGGATGCTTTTCTTCATCTATTTTAATGATCACATTATTTTTCTCCTTTAATCTGTTGTCTTAGTCTGGATTTCTCCAGAAGTAGATCCGGAAATCAGAATTTGATATCAAGCAGTTTAGTTGGGCAATAAGCCTAGGAAACACCAGTAGGGAGTGGATAAGATACACTGAGAAAGGAAGTTAACAAAGTTAGGTATTGGGCATGTTACCATTATAAGCAAGTGGTGCTTAATACTGTTAGGGAACTCTGTAAGAATGTCTAATATGCCCCAGATTGTCCATCCTGAAAGAACAAGGGAACTGGTATACTTACTCACCAACTCTCAACAATCATTGGTTAAAGGCAGCTCTGGAAGCTGAGATACTATTTTCTTGATACCTTTAGCCTGTTACATATTCTAGGATACTAACAAAGCCCTCAGATATCAAGTCTTAGGTGCTGACCATTGACATTTGGGCCTGCATGCACAGAAATGATAGGTGCTATATATCATTAAAGCAACAATAGCATTTGCTATATCTGGTAGCAGGGAATTACAAAGATAGATTTTTCTAGTATTAAGCCAATCTTGCATTTTTGGAATAAAATTAACATAGTTATGTGTTACTCTTTTTTATGTAAAGCTGAATTTGATTTTTAAAAATCCTTTGTTTATAATCTTTAAAATTTAAGTTAGTAATTGTGATTGGTCTATTGTTTTCTGATACCATCTCTCGATTCTTTTAAAATTTATTTATTTATGTGAAAGATAGAATGACAGGGAAAGAGAGGGAGAGAGGGACAGAGACAGAGATCACTCCCCTATTGCCCACAACAGCCAGGGCAGGGACAGGCA